TTTAATTAGATATATGCCTAGGCCTACAGTAAACTTACTTTCTCTCTCAACCCAAAGTTAGTTTTTAGATAAATAATAATAATAATAATAATAATAATAATAATCTTTAATTAAATGCATCAATATGCCTATAGCCTTCTTACTCTGATATATCTTTAAGATTAATGCGCACTTCCCGGAGATTAATTATGATATTTTCCGAATAAGGTATGCCGAAGCAGGTGGTCAAAGCAGTATAGGACAACGATTGGACTAGCCAATTAAACTGAAAAATTGCTTACTCAGGGAACTCAGACAATTTTCAATCATCAGCATCCGATGTAGCATTCACAGGCCTATCTCTGCCTATTGGCATTACCTTTTTTTTAATATAAAAACTATAGTTTCGGTAAAAAGGGAAACGCACGCCCACCAATACAGTCAGATACTGTAATATATTAATAACAATTTCTGTGATCATTTCATTAATGCTGAACTGCAAACCAAATTACATTTTGTAAGCGGACAAAAGGTTGAAATGCCGAAAAAGTTCAGCAATAATTTAATGTGTCCTTTTCACATACTGCCGATAGGCCTACTAGAGCAAACTGCAGGGCCTTAATTTTTTAAAATCTATTTAAAGAAATGCATTTATTACAATTACAATGACAGACGAGATGCAGGAATAAATTTTATATAAAATTTATTCTCAAGATTTATGATTATGTCCCTGCAAGTAGTGAAAGCGCACCTGTAGTGCGGGCGGTTACCTACCACCTGCGATCCACCTCATTTTATTCGTAATTTATTAAGACCGAGACTGTAGTCGCCTATGGAACGCCAAAGCATGATTGCCCCGAGAACCTTGAAATTAATACAGGAGTTGTATCTAGTACTGAATAACACATCGGAGTATCATACTTGCCACGTCCACGGAATCAAAATACACTACTAAAGTACGGTCTCTGTATGCTGGTAGAAGTTACAGTACACTCCCCTAAAAATGTTTGTCCTGGGAGTTGCACAATGAACGTGTACACCTCTATGGTTACACCATGGAGGACTAAAAGTCGCATTTCACATCCAATCACCTTTAATCAATATCCAATAAATAATCGTAAAGTGCAACAATTTTCATTAATATTCTGCATCAGTGAGGTTAATACACAATTTTATATAGTTCATATTTTACGTTTGACCCAAACATGGTGCAAAAGGTTTATAATACTGTATATGATTTATAAAAGCAATCATGTTATGCAAAATCAATTTGATTATTGACATAAGTAGGCTACAATGCTCATATCACCAGCCACTATGTTGCATGCGTCGTACATAATGAAAAAGAATAATTTAGTATAAAATGCCATTTAATTTTAAAACAAATTCTGCGTCGTAATGTAAAGGTGTATTACATACCATTTTAAATTGTTTTCATTACAATTAAACATTGATATTCTATGTAGTCTGTGTCCTATAAAATCACTAGAAAACAAGTTATATATGTCTATTATCATATTCTTGTTCTCTCTGTACACAGGAGTCCCTTATCTAAGTGACACGCTAGTGGTCATAATGCCCGTCCTGTCAAGTTGTTTTAAGTTGACATTAAGTTCTAACGCACCTGTTACAATTATTATCGTGTACGTGTTCTCATAAAATGGAACCCCTGCGCCTGGATGGTCAATGTTTAGATACGATATTTAAGTTGTTAAACTACTGTATTTTGTTTCTCTATAAACGGACAAAATCGACAAACACCAAGGGGTTGGAAATTGATAATAACTATTCTCATTTGCTGAAATTGAATTTCAGATGGCTTCTCAGATAGGTCTAAATTACCGATATAGAAATATGATCAGGTGACCAGCAGGTCAGGTGGTAAAGGCACCGGGGAAAATTACGTCATCAAAGGGTACTGTATCCCAGATATCTTCACTGAAGCTACACCTTTTAATTTCCAGGGGTTGTTGACGTGGCAAGAATGTATGCAAGGTAGTCTGCTAAAACTAGTCTACTAAAAAATAGGCGCTATGAAGCTGTGGATCGGTGGTTAGAATACCAGCTTTCAATCAAACCTCATGGGTTCTAATCTTGTTATTATTTTCACAACTAAAACAATTTTTCACGTTCACCCAGTGACATGACAATTGCCACACCAAATAATCATAATTATGTCCAAGGCACACTATATGGAATATCTCAAACAAAATGAGTGAAACAGGCAATAAAAGATATACAGTCCTATATTATACTAAGATTACACATTATTATATTGAATATTATAATTCATTTCTTAATAAATTAAGAACACTAAATCATATTATTCCGATCAAGGTTGTTTTTCTTTCGATCCAGGTTGAATATGTTGATATTTGATAAAGAACCGATAAAGAGTGAAAGAGCATCCAAAACTAGAATGTACGGAGACACTTCGTCCCACAGAAATTATGATATTCAAACATGAAAGCAAATATTGACTGAATTATGTCACTTAACAGATCATTCAAATTGGAAAAAGTCTGTTAATTTTCAAAATATATCTGTTTACTTTCCGTCGTAAATTACTTAATATGGCTTTCAAAGTTAATAGGCCTACGTCGAAAGTTGCAGGTATAGCTTACATCAGTTCCACAATTATCACTTCAATAAACTAATAACGATATAGACATACATAATGACTATATATATATATATATATAGGCCTATACCATTATATATATATATATATATATATATATATATATATATATACAAGTAAAAAGTTCAAATCATCTGGAGTAGAGTGCTCAATACATATATATATCACTCGACAATTACCAGATGGATTCGACTTCAGATATATACCCATCCTGAAGAAGTCGGTCTTTCGATTTGTTATTTACTGTAAGTTTTAGTTTAGGCCTAAGTGAGCACTGATTTTTATCAGCAAACCTAATGCAGACTAATTCTAAACCCGTGTAGTCAATCCCCGAATGTAAAGTTTCTAAACGTATAATGTCCTAAATTTTAACTTTTGATTTAAAGTGCCACAGAGTGTGTCATTCTCTCAACTCTCCTATTAATTGGTATGCTCACATGGGACCTCACTCTCTCTCTCTTGCTTGATACTACAGTAGATTACTAGTTAACAACTTGTTCATAAGTAGCTCATCCCTTTCACTTACTGTATTACACACGAGTTCTAACGAATTACTGATCTTGTAGTTATGGTCATTGAGTTATTTCAGTGTTGACCAACACTCTTGCGCGCATGTTTACCAGAGAAATCTTGACCCGATTTGGCTAAATCGTATTAGACTAGGACTGTAGCTTAGGGCCTGGTGGCAAAGGGCCAAGTCTTCTCGTGTCAGACTCTCTGGAGGTAATATTAACTATAATCGGTATGAGATTAGAATTAGCTTAAGTGTACTCAAGGGGAAGATTAACAATGGCGTGTTGGTCTATTACAGCAAAATCGTTGACACCGGGAATATTTAATAGATAACCACATCAACAAACAATGTTTGAACAAATCAAAAATCTCTTTACATCTACAAATGAGTACAGAACAGAAACCCATGGTTTAGAGAGATGTTGAAATTTCTAATCCAAATTTGACAATTGCTATTACACTTTCCACTTGAATACAGTATCTCATCCAACTTTTGTCTTTTCGCTGTTGTGTTAATCTTAAAACTCACAAATTAGGTCAGCTAATCCCAGGTCGTATACGACATGAGTGCCAGGTCACGTCTAACCTTAACTGTTGTTTCGGACGCGGACAAGAATTCGAAGCGTTTTAGTGAGCCATGAGGTTTCAGACAGAACTTTAAATCATTTTCAATCAGATTTTTATTTCAGGATTTCTGCAATTCGTTCCGTGTTCGAATGTGTTTATGTTATTGGTAGATTCTTCGCGAAGGTCATCGACATATGAAAATCAATCAATCATATTGCTAAAATTTCCGTGAATTTGATAACTATCGTCAGCCTCAGGTGACCCTTTTAAACGACTTCATCATAATAATTCTGTCCACAATATATTATACTGGCCCTTTAATCCCTAAACACCTATAGCCCATCGATTAAATAGGTCTACCTATGCATTTAAGGAAATGGCAACAACATGTGGGATATTTGTGAATTAATCTTTCATCGCTCAAGTAACGAAAATGAATAAATTGAACGAATATAATTTTTAAGGCTTTTAATCTGAAATGTGATAGTTTGTCTACATTTGCCCCGAGCATCAGCTTGAACTTCTGTGATTATATTAAATACCGGTCGGCACCTTGTCGCCTTACTGTTAACCAATTTTGCAAATTTAATTGAGCTTGAACAGTTTGGATCCCCCTTCATATACTCATGGGATAATATTTTAAATTAGGTTATCCCTGAGTTAGACAGTGGTTACGTAAGACTCCATGTTCATAATTATTCCAAACGAAAGGAAAGTTATAATCTCAGAGGTTACTAGAAATATTCGTGATTTAAATTCCCTATATCATTCACATGGGCACAAAAAGCACAACATTGAAATGTCCAGCTACTCATATACTTGTAACTTTACTTTTAAAGCAAACGTACAGCCAAAACCTGATTCTTGAGCTCACAAACCGGAGTGCCTAGCTCTTTTCTTAAGTTTTTTTTTTAATGTTTTGGCTAAACTGGGCAATGCTTTGAGGGTTCGGTACATCTCCAGCGCAACGAGTCTGTTTACCTTTCAGCATAATTATGTCGGTACCCATGTATTCTCTTGGGTAGAAAGAGAGAAAACGTACCGTAGTGCATTGCTTAAGAACACAAGCGACTTGCACAGCGAGGGTTCCGAACCCCTGACCTTAATTATTGAGATACGAGCCACAACCGTTGCACCAACCGCTTCCACATAAATGAAACAAAACAAAACAAGCAAATTGTGTCCTAGATCACCTATCAAGTTGAGTTCAACAGTTGAAATGGGAACTCTGGAAACATTCCACAAATCCACTTTCAAAATAGTAGGCCTGTTGCAATAAATAAATAAACAACAAACTTACTTATTATCAGCAATGGAAAATGGAAAAACTGGTGAACTGTCTCCTAAATTGCCTTTAGAGTCGACGTAGTGGAATTTTGTTGTTTTTCCTAACTCAAGTGCGAATCTTGGCCGGCCATTTCCACCGTATAGAGTAAAAAGGAATGCTTTTCGTTTTACAGGATCTGCCTTTAACGTCATAATTAAAGAGAATTCTTCGGGAACATATTCACCTATGAACGAAATAATTCAAAAATTAGTGTAACTTTGTCAAAAACTAACTGAATGATAATCTAGAGCCCTAAACCATTCTAAACACTGCCAAAACTTCGTTATGCATAAATTCATTTCTTATGCTGTTTGTTAAAACGCCTTCCCATACTTTTAGCAGTATATAAGCCTATCTTTAATTTTTGCACTATTTTTGTTAATTGAAAACCAAACAAGGGAAATCCTCACCTTGAAACACTTGATTTGATGGTTCACTCAAACTTGCCTTTTTACCAATTTGAAATGCTTTATCTTCAGTATACGTGCCATCGGAGTGAGGCCGCCTACTGCAGATACCCACATCTTCGACTACTGCATTTGGTAAGTCAAGCAGGCCTACGCCCAACTTCTGTAGTAAATCAACTGACCCTAAAATATATGATCACAAAACATTATTAAAAAAAAAAAATTTATTATCAATAATAAAATATATAATGCACCCTAATTTCAAATATTAAGGAAATCCAGTGCGAAAATAATACGGGGCAGAGCAATTTGAACGATTCAGAAAGATAAACTTATCTTACCCTAGGCCTACTTATATGGCCTACAGTGAATGGGAGTTTTAAGCATAATGTTGGAAAGTTATAGAAGAAATGTTGTTGAGAAAGAGAAAACAAAATGTATCTAGTTTCTAGAGCCAAATAGCCACTGTGAGAGCGGAAAAGTCATTTGTTTGAGAAAATATCTCGGGGTAAGTATGCGCCAATATCATGGTTAGTTGTGGTCTAGTGGTTGCAGGTTCGAGTCCTTTCAAAAATATTTTGTCACGAATTATACTCAGTTAACTAGACCACACTTCACCACACAACACACCCTCACAAAATAGGCTATCGCACTTGGCACTGAGGAAGGACTGTTGTCAGAAAGCTGGTTATATTTCTGGCCCTTAATCTACGATTAGGCCTACATCTTAGCGGTTGGTTATATTTCTGAGACATCCAGCCATAGTTTCCCACAGCATTGTTATTTTCCAGTACTTTGCCAACTAATTTGTGTACGCATATAAAGACACCATTTCCACACACGAAGATCCCTCTTTAAATATATAGATTAATAGAGTGATGACAAATTATTTTGAATAAATAATTATTTAACTTAGACATCTGCTACTAGACATAGGAAGATACGCTTTAGAGCCCAATCACACTTATTTAGCCGGCCTAGGGTCGCCTTACATTACGGCCGACTCAGGGCCGACTCAACTTCATTTCCGTTCACATTTTTTGTTTTAAGTTGTTTTAAGTCGGCCCAGGGCCGCCTTACGGACGTTCATACTTCTTCTTTTGGGCCGGGTCGATGAATTGCAGGACAGGAAGTTGAGGCGATCGCATTTTGATGGCGGAACGGTAAATCACAACCATAAACACATGGAATTCGCGCGAAACATGAACCTAATTTCAAAAATTGTCCTTATATATACTTCTTCGATTTTTTAAGCGGATAGCATTCTGCTTCATGACTATGGCGACCATAATTCTTATAATAACCAAGGCCTTTAATTAGCGCAGCTCGATTTTACTCTGTGCAAAGCCAGACTCGCGATTTCGAAAGTCCATACCTGTATATTGTAAACTGTCTATATAGGTCTATATTGCTGTCAATGTTTGGCCACAGACCGGAGACACTGATTGTGAATAAGTAGCATCAAGATTTATCTATTTGGCAATAATAATTATTTTCATATTAGGTTCATTCACAAACAATTTTTGACGCTTTTTAGAACCAGCTTCGCTCATAACAAAAACAAACGATTATGTTTTTTTTTCTATCCTCGGGGTCACGTGAGCAGCTTTACGAACACAAAACGCACGTGGTTGGTGAGGATGACGTTCACAGAAAAAATGATACCGCTATACAGTGTTATAATTTTAGAATATAAACTTGTTAAATTAATGTGTGCTATACAAAAACGGGGTTTCTTGAGCTTGTAATAGGCCAATATATTTTTTATCTACTGGAATTCTTTAACTGTAGAAAAGAAAGTCGTCATCTGTCAAACTGCCCATGCGTCAGCTTTGTATCACGTGGTATTCCCCATGCCTACAACTTGGTTTGTGATGATGCTTATGCTTCCCACGGAGGCTGTGAGTAATAATTAGTTAGGCATGGAGACCTTATATAAAAACTTTTATTCAAAAACAATAGTTCAACTAAATACAAATTACTTTACAGTTTCCTTAACAATTTTATTTCTCAATGGTGTTTTTTCGCGCAAGTCAGTTCGAATGAATGTTGTGGTTAGATAAGATGTCAAAATCGAGCAATCAGAGCGAACTTGGGTCGGCTGAGGTTCGGCTTACGTTCAAATATTAAGTTGGGTCGGCCCAGGGCCCGCATTGCGGGACCTGAGCCGACTCAAAAGTCGGATTAACTTTAGGTCGGCTCAGGGCCGGCTTAACATTTATTGATTGTTCACACTTAAAAATTGCCGGCCCTGAGGCGGCCCTGGGCCGACGTAACTCTCAAGTGTGATTCGGCTCATAGTGGGCCTGATCGCAAAAAGTGTACGGTACTGTAATAAAGCATTGTCAGTTGCTTTTGGAATTCTTTCAATCATTTAGACATCTAAGTAGGCCTACCTAAAACCTAAAATGCTGGAGATTGACCCCTCTTGCACCCTGCTACTTTAACCTCACTGTAGTTTCGGTCTGGATATACTGAACAAATGAATTGTTTATAGGATCTGTGATATAGGCCTACCTAAAACCTAACATGCTGGGATCACCCGATTCTACCTAATAGATCTGATAAGTTTCGGTGACAGCACCATTCATGATGCCGTCACCAAACATGATTAGGGGATTCTGATCAGATGATTGATGTCTGGTGCAGTCACAGTATAGAAGTGTATCAGAATTTTATTTGTCACCGAAACTGATCACTCAGGTAGAATCGGCTGTGGTGATTGACTCCCCTTGCTTGCACCCTGTACTTTAACCTCACTGGAGCTTCGGTCTGGATATACTGAACAAATTAGTTGTTTATATGATCTGTGATTATAGCTCTTAAAATGAGAACAAGGGAAATCAGAGAAATGGGTCACATTATTAGCCGGTATGTCTGTTACGTCATGGAACAACATAGTCCTAGTTATGTCAAAGAATTTGTACTTCGATACTTCGAACAAGTCATAATGTAGGCCTATTCGTTTATTTTAGATCTTCCATTCAGTTAACAACCAAAGACAGGGTGTTCTACCTAAGAATACTCAAGTAATCCAGAGGCGGATCCAGAGATTTTCTGACGGGTGGGGTGGGGGAAGCACAATATGAAGTTCACGCCGCCACGCCCACCTCAGCCCCACCAATAAGTAGTAAATAATCGAGCTCTCCTTTCGCCCACTGTTGTATCGCCACTGAACTTATGGGTGCACTCCCTTTTTAGCTCTTCCTCTCTTTAATTCAAATTTGTCACCCTTTTTTATTTTTCGGTTTGTCTACAGGGGGTGAGGGTAGCACGGGCCCTCATGGCCCCTGGATCCGCGCCTGTAGTCAAGAATACCCTTTAATGATAATGACACAGTATGTTTTGAAAAATAAGACGAAACATTTTGGTTAGGCCTATATAAAATAAACAAATGTACAATGCACTGATCGCAACACGGCACATACGCGTTTAACTACGCGCAATGGTTATTTCGTCAAACAGTAGTATGCAACCACATCTGACATTGTAAAGATTAACTTATAAAAGTTTCTAAATCCATGCTGACATATTTTACTAACTACATTGACAGTCTCGACACATGAGAAACAATCTGTTTGAATCGTTATAGATGCCAACTATTTTCCATAGCGTTCCCAATCATTCATAACAGAAACTATTTTTAAACTAAGTAAAGAATGCAAATTAAATTACATATTTCAAACTGAGAAATATTGTCAGTGTATCTACATCACTTTATATGGAGAGGAATCCAAATTCTCCAAACCCAGACAGCAATACATGACAAGCTGGTAAGCTTTGCATTTGAATTAGGCTCGTGGTGGGATAAATTGAGACAAAAAACTCTTCTACGTTGTTGCAGACCTACATAATCATTACAAAATACAGGTGTGTTGACATTTGGTAGAAACACAAACGTCAACGACACATGCAAGTAGGTCTATATAATGTTCACAGTAAATATCACAACACACAAAAACTCAGATCTGGCCAATACAACTACAGTGTCCATGTTATAGTCAGCTATGAGGTCAATCAGTACACTCCTATGAATATTTTCACGTAGGACATGTTTATTTATTTTTTTAAACTAGTATAATAATAACTTATCTAAAAAATGGCTTCATATAAATTTGCACAAAATAAATACATAATATTGAAATACCGTTTTATATCATTCAAGCAATCGAATATGTCGATTGCTCTCTCGGGAAGCAGCGTGTATCATTTTTTGAAAATGATGTGTTAATCTTTTATTCCTCAAAACTAGTTGTAAATTTCATCTGAAAACCATGACTTGACTGCCTTGACTATTTTTTAAACACGGTGTCAGAAAGACAGGAAATGTGACGCTGCTGCTACCAAGACTTGCCTGCCAACACTTATTTTCATCTGAGCGCTGGATGATTTTATCTGAAATCTCCTGAATTAACAAGCACCACTTCAAGTATTCCTCAGTGTAAGAACCCTTATGAACATTCCTTATTTTAAGGGCTGTCTGATCGTCTGATTTTTTTCCGCCTAAAAGAAGACAAGAAACACTATCTACCATTCCAGACAATTATCCGAAGACTCTGCAAATGATCTAATTACGCATCGAATTATTAATTTACAAATATTTGGCGCCAGTGCCAAATGCATATTAAGAGGGCCTAGAATTATATGGCATTATATATATATATATATATATATATATATATATATATATATAACTGTACACAGTGTATATATATGATATAATCCTTTTCATGTTCGAACAAAATTATTTATGCGAGTCAAGTGAAAATAATGAATAATAAAAATAATATAACAAATAATATGAGACACGACCCATTGTCTATATTAGAACACTTCCCATTGGGTAACAAAGTCGTCATTTTTCATTTTTGTCAAAAAGTGTCTATAGTGGTGAATTATGGTTTAAGGTTTTTTTAATAAAGTTTCAAAAATTTCTATCGCAAGTGTGAGCCAGCGAGCCATGACGTCACGACAATAGATACGATACGAGACGTTACTCGAGTTGTGCGAGGTATCGGCTGAGATTTGTGGAGTACAATTCAAAAAACAACTATAGGTCAACTGATGTTAAATAGACAATGTTAGCTACCAAAGAGCGACGTTGTTTTTCATTGGGACCTTCGTCCCTTCAAGGCTAGGCCTATACCATCCTAGCTAGTCTAGGCCTAGAGAGCGCGAACATG